GTATGTGTATGCACCTATGTGTATATATATTTATATATTTTGCATATGTATGTGTATATTTACCACTAATATTATATATATATATATATATATATATACACACACACACTTTTATCTATTTTTTGTTTTTATTAATTTTGATCTAACAAAGTGTGCCTTTTTTCATTATTTTTTTTAACACAGTTTTACTTATCAAATACAGTAAAAAATTTGAATATTTTGCTTGTATTGATTAATAATTAGAATTCTGGTTTGAAATTATTTTGGATTCAATTTATCTAGTACAAAAAATATTAACTTTATTTGGATTTATTCTTGAAACTGTAAACTTTTTAAGTCCGTTTTTAAACAAAAACCTGCAGAAATTAGGTATTTCTGTAAATTTTTGGACAATATTTAAAACGAAATGCTCAAAATTTAAAAAAAAAAAAAGTTACAAATCTTATTTTTGGTGTCAGTACTTATCACATCAAACTCCAGCATTTATAATAAGTGCAATGTTAATTTTCTAAAAAAAAAGTGAAAATCCAACCTGCCCTAAAGAGGCTCACCAACAAGACTGAATGATACTTTATAGTGTTTAGGGATGAGAAAAATTATATACTAAGACTGAGGGTGGCTCAATAAACCTGAATTTGAAATACAGTGTGACCCGGATATAAGAGACCCGGATATAAGAGAAAACCGGATATAAGAGATTTTTTCTGGTCCCAAAGTGTTCCCCATACTTACCTAAACAAAATAGACCAAACCCGGATATAAGAGAAACACGGATATAAGAGACTTCTTCTCCGGTCCCGACAACTCTCTTATATCCGGGTTACACTGTAGATGCACAGACCAGATGGAGACATAAAAACGGTAGATTAATTATGCAACATGATAGAATTACTGTTGGAATTTCATTCTAGTGATAAGTGAAAGCCTTTTATAGCAGAGCCTTATAAAATTTATATTCTACTGAAGCTTTGGAAATTGCATATGGACAAGATGCAAGCACATTATGACTAAACCATTGTGCTATCAAATAAGACCTTTCATTTGCTTCAAAGGGAAATTCTACTGAACAATTTAGCTATATTATGATGTAATATGTTATAGAGTGCAGTAGTTTTGTGTGATTTTCAATAAACAATGCAAATTTAAAACATTTTGTCTTATAATCTATGGCGAGCAGTATATATATATATATATATATATATATATATATATATATATATATATATATATATATATATAATAAAAATATAATATAATATAATAAAGACATTGAGTTCTAACTGATTCTATCCTCTTGGAATTTTTATTCAAAAAAATATACATGTATGTGTATGCACCTATGTGTATATATATTTATATATTTTGCATATGTATGTGTATATTTACCACTAATATTATATATATATATATATATATATACACACACACATTTTTATCTATTTTTGTTTTTATTAATTTTGATCTAACAAAGTGTGCCTTTTTTCATTATTTTTTTTAACACAGTTTTACTTATCAAATACAGTAAAAAATTTGAATATTTTGCTTGTATTGATTAATAATTAGAATTCTGGTTTGAAATTATTTTGCATTCAATTTATCTAGTACAAAAAATATTAACTTTATTTGGATTTATTCTTGAAATAGTAAAATTTTGAAGTCAGTATATAAGCAAAAACCTGTGGAAGTTGTAAATTTTTCAGACAAACTTTAAACTAAATGCTTAAAAAGGGTCATGAATCTAATTTTTGGTGTCAGTACTTATCACATTGAACTCCAGCATTTACACCAAGTGCAATGTTGATTTTCTAAAAAACCTGCCCTAGTGTACATGACATGTTGGATCTTAGCTGTAAAGGTCTGGACAAGTAGATTTATGGAATATAGCTTGTCAATATTTTCCATGTCAGTAGTGATCAAATTGTGAGAGTCTTGCGATGTTGCATCTATGTTAGAGGGGTCGTATAGTAGAAAATAATTCATTGCCTAGAAGGGCACATAAATCCTTTTGAAGGCTAGAAAGAGAAAGAGAGAGTATAGGGCTTGAGGAGATTTCATGGTTTCATATGACTTTTGTAAAGATACAGCATGGCAACTGAATTCAGGTATAAGAAACTGACCATTTTCCCAGCTTCTTTAGCAATGGATCATATAGATGTGTTCCACTTGAGGTATGGGGTGAACTTGAGTCCCAATAGACATTCAAAGTGTCTCTGATAATTTTTGCTTTTTCTAGTGGGTGTATCATCAGTTTTAGTACCTTTGCAGTGAAATGGTCAACACTGCTTTACTCAGGTGAATTGGTAGGTGAAACTGTACTGGTCTACAGCCTACATACAACTTTCACACATAGCTCCAAGAAGTCACATGGGAACTGCGACAGCCACACCCTGGTCACTGTCATCGACTTATGGGCTAAACTTGCGGATAGTCGGTAGGTTTTCCCGACCAGACCAGTCCAGCAGAATGCCTCGCCCCAACCCACTTATGCCAAGTGAACATCAGCCAGTCACCAGCCTGGGTGTAGGAGCTGTGGTCAATGGATTTACGAGTGGGTGGAGGAACTGCTGAGAGTGGGGACAAGGTAACCAAAACATGCCCAGTGCAAAAGGAACTGGCAAGTTCAGACCTTTACAGCAAAGTCTTTTGCTACTCTATCGATATTTCCATGGCAAATGTTCAGATGAACTCCATTCTTTAATTCCACCAGTTCAGACCTTTACAACTAACACTAGGCCCACTATGCTACATAGATAGCAACAGCTCATTCTTATCCTCTTTATTTTAAGGAGGAAGTTCCAGCCAAACAGTTTCTTCTTCAGAGCTTACTTTGTAGAATAAACTCCTGAGAGGATGCTTTCCCAACCACTCTAATATTAACCACTTCAAGGATATGGTCAACAGTTATCTATCCTATATATCCTCATAATATACACCACTTCCTTTACATTTTATTCCCTAAAAGCAATCTTATTTATTTACTCTCTACTTAAGTGGCACTTGAGCCTTTGATTTGGTGAACAGTAGTATTAACAATTCTATTTTCCTAATTTAGATTTCTTTGCAAACATGTCTATATCTCATTTATATTACCTTTTATTTGTTTTGGTAAATGTCGGCTTAATTTTTTTTTTCACTTTCACTTCTTGCTGCTTTCTGATCATTTTTTTTGTTGTCCAATAATTTCGGTTGCAACTTTTGTCTTTTATAATTAATACGCCATTAATCTTACTTGTGAAATCCATGGTTCCCTTGATAGTTTTATGTAATTGTCACTACTGACAAATCTTTTTCATTGTTATTATCAATATTATTATTGTCATCGTCATTTTGATGAAAATAGATTTTCTGCTTTTTGCAATTATTGTTATTATTATTTCCTGATGTCTTTAAATTTTTAATTTTCTTGTTTTCGTTCCATAATTATTATTATTGCGATTATCAATGATTTTGATGTGAATCTCTTGCTATATTCATTGGCTGATATAAGCTGTTATTATTCCTTCTCTCGTGTTTCATTTGACATTCTTGATTCAATGGTATTTACGTTCTTTTTGCTGAAAGCTGTCATTTTTATGCGAAGTGATTATAATTTGTCCTTTGTTAGGAACACTTATTTTTTGATATACTGACCTGTCGCTGTTATTGATTTCAAGAAAATAAGTACCTTCCACGAATGCCATTATAATTAGCAATACGTTTCATGTCACTCATTTTATCAAAGGCTCTCTTACCTTTTTTCCTCATCTATTTTTCAATTTTGGTCTTTTGTATTAAGTCATCATTCATTACCAATCACATAATGAATCCAGTTAAACAAAGAGCAAGGAATGAAGTAAAATATTCAGGCAAGGGATTAAAGCAAAGAGTTATTGCAATGTCTTTATTTTCAGGCAAGGGTTTGGAGCAAAGAGGGATTGCAATATCTAAATATTTAGGCAGGCATTTAGAGCAAAGAGTGATTACTATATCTAAATATTTAGGCAGGCATTTTGAGCAAAGATGGATTGCAATATCTAAATATTTAGGCAGGCATTTGGAGGAAAAAGTGATTACAATATCTAAATGTTTAGGCAGGCATTTGGAGGAAAAAGTGATTACAATATCTAAATATTTAGGCAGGCATTTAGAGCAAAGAGTGATTACAATATCTAAATATTTAGGCAGGCATTTGGAGCAAAAAGTGATTACAATATCTAAATATTTAGGCAGGCATTTAGAGCAAAGAGTGATTACAATATCTAAATATTTAGGCAGGCATTTGGAGCAAAAAGGGATTACAATATCTAAATATTTAGGCAGGCATTTGGAGCAAAAATGGATTACAATATCTAAATATTTAGGCAGGCATTTGGAGAAAAGATGGATTACAATATTCTAAATATTTAGGCAGGCATTTGGAGCAAAGATGGATTGCAATATCTAAATATTTAGGCAGGCATTTGGAGGAAAAAGATGGATTACAATATCTAAATATTTAGGCAGGCATTTGGAGGAAGAAGATTAAATATCTAAATGTTTAGGCAGGCATTTGGAGGAAAGATGGATTGCAATATGTAAATATTTAGGCAGGCATTTGGAAGAAAAAAGTGATTACAATATCTAAATATTTAGGCAGGCATTTGGAGCAAAGAGGATTACAATATCTAAATATTTAGGCAGGCATTTGGAGCAAAAAGTGATTACAATATCTAAATATTTAGGCAGGCATTTGGAGCAAAAGGGATTGCAAAGTGTAAATATTTAGGCAGGCATTTGGAGCAAAGAGTGATTACAATATCTAAATATTTAGGCAGGCATTTGGAGCAAAGTGGATTACAATATCTAAATATTTAGGCATGCATTTGAAAAAAAGGCAAAAGGTAAATATTTAGGCAGGCATTTGGAGAAAATGATTACAATATCTAAATATTTAGGCAGGCATTTTGGAACAAAAGAGTGATTACAATATCTAAATATTTAGGCAGGCATTTGGAGGAAAGACTGATTACAATATCTAAATATTAATGCAGGCTTTTGGAGCCAAGAATGTTTACAAAATCTAAATATTTAGGCAGGCATTTGGAGCAAAAAGGGATTACAATATCTAAATATTTAGGCAGGCATTTGGAGCAAAGATGGATTGCAATATCTAAATATTTAGGCAGGCATTTGGAGGAAGAAGTGATTACAATATCTAAATGTTTAGGCAGGCATTTGGAGCAAAGATGGATTGCAAAGTGTAAATATTTAGGCAGGCATTTGGAAGAAAAAGTGATTACAATATCTAAATATTTAGGCAGGCATTTGGAGCAAAGAGGGATTACAATATCTAAATATTTAGGCAGGCATTTGGAGCAAAGAGTGATTACAATATCTAAATATTTAGGCAGGCATTTGGAGCAAAGGTGGATTGCAAAGTGTAAATATTTAGGCAGGCATTTGGAGCAAAGAGTGATTACAATATCTAAATATTTAGGCAGGCATTTGGAGCAAAGAGTGATTACAATATCTAAATATTTAGGCATGCATTTGAAGCAAAGATGGATTGCAAAGTGTAAATATTTAGGCAGGCATTTGGAGGAAAAAATGATTACAATATCTAAATATTTAGGCAGGCATTTGGAACAAAGAGTGATTACAATATCTAAATATTTAGGCAGGCATTTGGAGGAAAGACTGATTACAATATCTAAATATTAATGCAGGCTTTTGGAGCCAAAAATGTTTACAAAATCTAAATATTTAGGCAGGCATTTGGAGCAAAAGGGATTACAATATCTAAAATTTATTTGGAGCAAAGATGGGCAATTCCAAATATTTAGGCAGGGAGGAAAAAGTGATTACAATATCTAAATATTTAGGCAGGCATTTGGAGGAAGAAGTGATTACAATATCTAAATGTTTAGGCAGGCATTTGGAGCAAAGATGGATTGCAAAGTGTAAATATTTAGGCAGGCATTTGGAGGAAAAAGTGATTACAATATCTAAATATTTAGGCAGGCATTTGGAGCAAAGAGGGATTACAATATCTAAATATTTAGGCAGGCATTTGGAGCAAAGAGTGATTACAATATCTAAATATTTAGGCAGGCATTTGGAGCAAAGGTGGATTGCAAAGTGTAAATATTTAGGCAGGCATTTGGAGCAAAGAGTGATTACAATATCTAAATATTTAGGCAGGCCTTTGGAGCAAAGATGGATTGCAAAGTGTAAATATTTAGGCAGGCATTTGGAGGAAAAAGTGATTACAATATCTAAATATTTAGGCAGGCATTTGGAGCAAAGAGGGATTACAATATCTAAATATTTAGGCAGGCATTTGGAGCAAAGATGGATTGCAAAGTGTAAATATTTAGGCAGGCATTTGGAAGAAAAAGTGATTACAATATCTAAATATTTAGGCAGGCATTTGGAGCAAAGAGGGAGGTTAATATCTAAATATTTAGGCAGGCATTCGGAGCAAAGAGGGATTACAATATCTAAATATTTAGGCAGGCATTTGGAGCAAAGAGTGATTACAATATCTAAATATTTAGGCATGCATTTGAAGCAAAGATGGATTGCAAAGTGTAAATATTTAGGCAGGCATTTGGAGGAAAAATGATTACAATATCTAAATATTTAGGCAGCCATTTGGAGCAAAGAGGGATTACAATATCTAAATATTTAGGCAGGCATTTGGAACAAAGAGTGATTACAATATCTAAATGTTTAGGCAGGCATTTGGAGCAAAGATGGATTGCAAAGTGTAAATATTTAGGCAGGCATTTGGAGGAAAAAGTGATTACAATATCTAAATATTTAGGCAGGCATTTGGAGCAAAGAGTGATTACAATATCTAAATATTTAGGCAGGCATTTGGAGGAAAGACTGATTACAATATCTAAATATTAATGCAGGCTTTTGGAGCCAAGAATGTTTACAAAATCTAAATATTTAGGCAGGCATTTGGAGGAAAGACTGATTACAAAATCTAAATATTTAGGCAGGCATTTGGAGGAAAGACTGATTACAATATCTAAATATTTAGGCAGGCATTTGGAGCAAAGAGGGATTGCAAAGTCTAAATGTTTAGGCAGGCATTTGGAGCAACAGGAAATTGTGAAGTGTAAATACTCAAAGATTGTGTTGTAACAAAGTGGGATTGGGATCTGTAAATATTCAGGCAATGTTTTGAGGTAAACAGAAATTTTGGAGGTGTAAATTTTCAGTCATTTACTTCAAACAAATAATGAATGTGAATTGTAAATTTTCAAGAAGGATTTTGTAGCAAATTGGATTGTTAACTGTAAATATTCGGACAGGTCTATGAAGAATAATGGAATTATAAAGTGTAAATATTGAGAAATATGGATGGAACAAAGAGGGATTGATAGATGTAAATATTCAGATAAGTGTTTAAAGAAAACAGGAATTGTGTAAATATTCAGGCATTCATTTGAAGTAAGGAAGTTTTGTGAAGAGCAAATTATTTGGTAGGAGTTTAAAGTAAGTGTAATTGTGAAGTGTAAATATTTAGGTACATGTTTAGTGCAAAGATGAATTGTGAAGTGTAAATATTTAGGCACATGTTTAGTGCAAAGATGAATTGTGAAGTGTAAATATTTAGGTACATGTTTAGTGCAAAGATGAATTGTGAAGTGTAAATATTTAGGCACATGTTTAGTGCAAAGATGGTTTGTGAAGTGTAAATATTTAGGCACATGTTTAGTGCAAAGATGAATTGTGAAGTGTAAATATTTAGGTACATGTTTAGTGCAAAGATGAATTGTGAAGTGTAAATATTTAGGCACATGGTTAGTGCAAAGATGGTTTGTGAAGTGTAAATATTTAGGCACATGTTTAGTGCAAAGATGAATTGTGAAGTGTAAATATTTAGGCACATGTTTAGTGCAAAGATGAATTGTGAAGTGTAAATATTTAGGCACATGTTTAGTGCAAAGATGAATTGTGAAGTGTAAATATTTAGGTACATGTTTAGTGCAAAGATGAATTGTGAAGTGTAAATATTTAGGCACATGTTTAGTGCAAAGATGGTTTGTGAAGTGTAAATATTTAGGCACATGTTTAGTGCAAAGATGGTTTGTGAAGTGTAAATATTTAGGCACATGTTTAGTGCAAAGATGGTTTGTGAAGTGTAAATATTTCTACATTAGAATGATGCATATTGAAATTGTAATCTCTAAATAGTTAGGAAGGAGTTTCAGGAAAAGAGCAATTTTATAAGATCTTATTTGTAAGGTTGAAGCAAAGATGGAATACGAACTTCTAGCAGAGAATCATGTCAACCTGACAAGAAATGTAGAGTTGGCTGCATGTGGTGCAGTAAGCATCAGGAATTCACCCTCTTCTCTAAGTGGAATACATTCCACTTAGAGTAGGTGGCACCTACAAAATTTGCATATGAATGATACTGTGCAGGTATTGGCCAGTAGTCAGCATGGATCTGGGTCTGAGAGAGCTATATAATACCAGATTTTTCTCAGTTAGGCAGAAGTGTTTTCGATGTGCCGAAAACCAGATAAGACCCACACAGAAGTGTAATTATTGAAGCAGTTCAAAGCAAAGAGGAATTGTAAACTGTAAATATTTAGTCATTAGGTTGAAGCAAAGAGATATTGTGAACAGTTAAGACACCAAATGAAAATTTACAGAAATTCTGATTTTAAAGCTTTTTATCAAGGCTACAACGTAATAAAAATATAGTGAAATATTTCTTGACTAATATTGTCATTTGCTAAATCTAAAAATTAACAAATTAGAAAGGTAAACCCATTCTCTATCTCTAAAACTTTTTGTTCTTCTACGTTATTGAAAAATTAATTAGTTAAAATGGTTTCCTTTCAGTTTGTAAACTCTCCACATTATTTATATGAGTACTGCAATTAAAACTGATTGTCCCAAAAGAAAAGAAAATATAAATTATTGTTTTTTACAAAAATTTGACAGAAGAGATTAGAGACCACCTCAAGTGACAAACAAGAATCTGTCTGTAATGATTAGCAAACGTGTCTTGCTGATTTGGTTGTGTTTTACGGCATATCAACCTCAGTGGGTTATTTAATGTCGACAAAGTTTTTATTGCTGGTAATATTTTGTTTTGCAAAGAATCTATTTCTGGTAATAATTTTTCCTTCAAAAAAGGATTGCTGGTAATATTTTTTCAAAAACGTATTGTTGGTAATTTTTTTTTTTTCAAAAATGTATTGCTGGTAATAGTTTTTTTTCTTCAAAAATTTATTGCTGATAAATAACAAAGTATTCCTGGTATTAAAAACCATTTTTATCCCAGTTTCAAAGTTAACTATTTGCCCATAGCTGGGACCCTAACAAGTGCTACCACCCCAGGTCAGGGTGGACCCTGGGAACATCATCAATTAAGATGTGGTTCTATGCTCCTCAAAACCTCTTGATCAGAGGCCTTGCTGCTGGACGTAGTTTATCATCTTACCCAGGACATGGATGTAGTTTATCATCATACCCAGGACGGCGTGTTTTGCGGGATAAATTATGACCAAGTTTGATCCTGACTATGTGATCCATTCTTTCCATCTGGTGCCATATCGGTTACACTTAGTAAATCATTAGAAAACATTTTCTGTAGTTTAATAACAGCATCTGTGTGATGTGGCCTTAAGCTTAACAGGTGCTGCAGTGCACGGTGGAGTAATGGATAGCGGCTTGGATTGAGGAATCGCAGAGCCGAGTTCGAATTCCAGTCGAATCCATTACATTCACTTACATGCTAATACCCTTGGGAAAGGTATGAATCCTCTTACTCTCCCTCCAGCTATGGGTAAAATAGCAGGACAGACTGGGTTCTATAGCCTTGGATGGCAACTGGTCTAGGAGAAGGACAACTCTGAATTCAAAACCTGCGGAGGGTCATTTGGGAACCTTGTGGCATTCGGTGCACCAGGTCCCTGTATTCGTCCCTTCAAAAAGTGTGGATGGTCCTGCATGAGGCCTTCACCACTATAATCAAATCTCATGTGTCGGTGTTGGGCTGTCGGTTTCCTGGAAACTGATCTGCTTGACCCTCATACGTCGAATCTCGACAGGAGAGTCGATTATTATTATATATATATAGTGTGGTGCATAATTATAAGGCCAGATGAATTTTATCTTTAAACTTTAGCAATTGAGATCATTTTTTAACATTTTGTATACTATTATATAGTATTAATAATGTAAAAGTTTCAAATAATTACTATGAGTAGAAAATTAGTCATTGTAAAATTATTCAAAAACTCAAAAAACGATTGGTTCATAATTATAAAGCCATTAAAAAAAAGAAGAAAAGAGCATTGCAAGTTAAAATAATTTAAATCACCAATCATTTTATAAATTATTATTAATAACTCACCAGCATTTGCACCAAACAAAATTGACATAATTTTGTGCCCAAAGGCATAGATTAAGTGAATTTGAAAAAGGTCAAATAATCGCACTCAAAAATGAAAATTTGAGTAGTAGAGAAATTGCTGTTAGGATTAAGAGTTCAGAAATGGTTATTAACATCTTTGTATCAAACATGGAAGAATATAGAGTCAGGAAAAGAGCTGAAAGAAACAAGTAATTAAGTGACAGGGATGTAAAAGCGATCAAAAAAGAAGCAAGCACTGACGTCATATCGTGTTCCAAGATCCAGGCAACTCTAGAATTGGGTGTTTAATGCTGGACAGTTTGGAGAGAACTTAACAGATTATGTGAGTTCTGTTATGACAAGCTTATGAATGCGCCATATTTGACTGAACATCATATGTCAGAGGTCATCAGTTGAGCCAAAGGTCATATGACTTGGGATAAGCAATGGCAAGGTATGGCATTTTCTGATCAAAAAAAAAAAAATTAATTTGGATGGTCTGGATGGGTTATCTTATTATTGGCATGACCTTAGAAAGGAAAAGTTGGTCTTTTCCAAGCATGTGCAAGGAGGAGGGAGTGTTATGATTTGAGCAGCATTTGGATTCAAAGGCAAAACTCCAATTGTTTTCATTGACACAAGATTTGATGCTTTGGGCTATCAGAATTTGATGTCTACTGATCTCTTGATTTACGAAAAAAAAAATGGTGGTCAAAATTGGGTGTTTCAGCAAGACAACACTCCTCTTCCCAAAGCCAAGTGCACTATGAAGATGTTTCAAGCTAACCAAATCAAGGTTATGGATTGGCCCACCAGATCACCTGATCTCAATCTTACCAAGGAACTTTGTGGTATATTGGTTAGATGAGTATACAAGAATAGGTATCAATTTAATAACAAAGAAGAGATCAGAAGTAAAATGTTGAAAGCCTGGGATTCAATCAACCAAAATGACAATCAGAATTTAATCTATTCTCCAAAAAATAATACGTTTGAAGTAAGAGCCAATCATGGAAAATAAACTAAATATCAATTTCCATAAATTTTTAGTGTTTGTCACTTATGTAATAAAATTTTTTAATGGCCTTATAATTATGCACCAAACGTTTTCCGACACATGGCACTGTCGATAAAGGCGTTAGTTAGATCCAGTGACAGGACCCAAAGAGTGTGA